ACGGAACTTCTCCAGTCTCTATCTGTTCTGCACCTCCCATTGCCGGAGGTGGCCCTTCAACTACCGGAAAATCTATCGGAAGAGCATCGTGGGAAGAACTGCCTGCCATTATTGATCTACTAAAGACAAAGGTTATCACAATCAAAGGAAAGAAAGGAGAAGATGAATTTGCGGAACCAAAAAGTTTCCTCAGAATCTCTCTCAGATGAACAATGAAGATATGAGAAATGAATGCCTCAACCCACCTTTATAGGCAACATAAATGGCTTTCGCGAAACCCAATAGCCATCATTAACTGCACGACCAACCGTAAAACGGTTCGGTTTTGCCGAAGCAAGCGTCATTATGACAAGCTCCGCAAAGTGACTTCTCAGCCATCCGCCAATGTACCGCCGTCAGAATAATCGCTACGGCCTGCGAACGCTGAAAGAATGTGCCGTACGCCTTCAAAATTCTGGACGTGACCAAATACGTACCCGGCGCATACTCATTCCCTACGGCCATCTCCAATATATGAAAGGCTACGGCCATCCCCAATGTATGAAAGGCTACGGCCATCTCCAATATATGAAAGGCTACGGTCATCTCCAACGTGTAAACGGCTAAGGCCGCCGCCGAGCACGTATCAAGCGTGCCCTCATTCTACTCGGCCGCACAACATACGACCCGTCCGCCACGGCCGACGGGTACGCTTCCAAAACAAACATAAGGATCAGAGCACAATGCAGCTCGACCTCATTCGAAGTAAGTTAAAAGGTCAAGTGCCTTCGCCCAGGAGGAGAGTTCGACCTCGATCGAACGATGACTTGAGAGCCCAATAACAGGATACTAATACTCTACAAGGCTAAGGACCATCGCCAAAAAGAATTCGGCCTCGACCGAAGCAACAGTCGACATCCCTATCCGTGTTTCTCGAAATACAGCCAATGGAATCAACTCATCGAGCTCGGCCAAGGCCCGACCTCAATAAGCGGAGGGACTAACTGTATGGGTCAGAATTCGACCCCACGATAGTTAACGAGGCTAATCCCGTTTTAAGTTAATTCATAATTAATTAGTGGCACGACCATTCAGAGTTGACGATGTTCAGCCCGCATCTGGTTCGATCGACAAGGCCATGGCCTATCCGCCACCATAAAGGCGAGATCCCAATGTGGTCACTACCACTTATTGCCAGCTCACGAAGCTCACAGCTATAAATACCAAGAGATGGAACCCTAGAAGGGGGGGGGGGGCTTCTTCGTGACCACTATTGAGAGAGAAAAAAGGGACAACAATACCCAAAATTATGGGCAAGAGGAACACCATTGTAAGGCTCTGAACCTCTCCATGGAGAGGCAGACCAAACCAATATTATCAATAAAGGTTTCTAATGTTTCTCCCCCTAATCCTGAGTATTAATTGTTGTTTCCTTCATTTGGTCCAACGGATTATTATGGTTTGCTATGATTTTCCCGTGATTTATTTATATTGTTTTATACTCATAAGATATGTGATAACTTTTGAGCAAACAATAATATTAATTAAGTAGTACTATTAATCAAATAGGAATATCCATCTAAAAGCTTCAAATTAGCAAGGAAGTAGATAAGTGCAAGTTACCTTACTGTTCATGTTCATCTCCAACAGGAATTGGGATTATCTACGTGCAAAATTTGATATACTTACCAATTATCAAGTAAATTTTTTTCTTGAATAACAAAAGGCGAATATTACTATCTCATTTTCACAATATGTAACAACTCTCTTTAGCCAAACTATATTGGAAAAATACCTAAGGGGAATTTCAGGATATCTTAGACAGTATAGATTATAGAAAGCTTTTTAAGATGTTTAAATTTTTGTTAATTTCCAGTAATATTGGGAATTGTGATAAAGCTTTCTGTGGAAATTTATCAAATTGTAGTTGAATTGAAGTCATGCATTCAAACACAACCAAGTCAAGTAAAGGAGAAAAGAAAAGGTCAACCAATGGTAAACGTCCAAGGACTCAGTTTTTGGAACTCAAGCATTTTAGTTTTTCAATTTGCTATTACTAATTAATTAGGAGGAATCGTTCGAAAAAAAATTAATTAAGAGAAAGTGAGAAAGGGACTTCTGGACCTATCACATACCATAGTTTTTATGCAAAGGAGTTAGAATGTCGCCTTTGTCTAAACAAATACTAATCTTAATAAACATACAAAGGGTTTGGCCTATCGATCAATAAACTAGCAAATGAAAAATTAAAATCTTAACTAGAGTAAAAAAAAAAATTAAATAATTTCTTCTCATCCATCTAAATTTTGGTCGACATAGTTACATGGTATCTATATTGGTGAAAACTAGCTAAATAATAAGTAACCCTTAAAATAATTGAGATGCGCATAAATTGACTTGAATACTACAATTAGAATATAAATAATCTAATTGTAGTAGTGGTAGACTTCCTTTGAGATGCAGTATTTAGCAATTAAAGTTTGTTATTCCAAAACGCTCGTAGAAGATGTCTTCGTTTCAAATTACACATTATTAGATAATTATTAGAAACCAATCTCTAATCATGTAAAACTTCTATCAATTGTTTTTAATTTTTATTACAATCAAGTTTTACCAACATATTGGAACATACAACTGGATACATGTCAAATTTTCAGAAGTTACAAAATGGTAGTAAAAATAACGAGCGTTAAATATTAATTTAAAAAATTAAGATTTTTATCCTTTGGAGCTCAAAGTCTACCTTCTCCTCTAATGCTATTCCCCCTTTCTCCTTATATCTTTGAGGAAAAGCTTATGACAAAAAGTCAATGTAGAAAGAAACAAAGTCAAACCTATATAAATGAGTGGGTGACTGTGTGAGTGTTGTTGTTGTTGTTTGTTTGACTTTGTTTTAAATTAACTTGCAGCACCAAAAAAGCAGAGAGAGAGAGAGAGAGTACTTCTCTTTGTTTGGTTAGAAAAAAATGAAATGCAGTATAATGCCCCGTTTGTCCGTAATTTTATTTTTATTTTTTCAAAAATGTGTTTGTCTATGAAATTTTGCAAGTTTGTACAAACTTTTCAAAAATGAGTTTTTCAAAAACCAAAAAGTGATTTTTACCACTTTTTTTTGAAATTTTCAGAAAAATTCTCCTCCCCACTCACAAAACTGCAACATTTTTTCGAGTGAAATGCATGTCCAAATATAATATCATATCCCAAATATCATTTTTAAACTTAACTTCAAATACTACTTATTTTCACAAATTATGATTTTTATGTCGAAACACCTGCCAAGTATCATATATTTAAAAAAGCAGTTGAACAAACTTATTTTCCCTCTCATCTCATATATTTCAATTTCTTCCTATGACAGTTACCAACCCCCACCCCTAGAAGTAACCCTTTCAACTCCCAACAATTTCACATAGTACTAACAACTCCACCTACAACTACTGCAAAAACCATTTAAACCAACACTGAACACCCTTTCTTGTTCCTTCCTAATCCTCTTACAAAACCCTACAAATACCCTCCAAAAACATCTCCAAGAAATTAAGAACTAGAAAACAAACATCATTAATATTGTAGCAATGTCTAGTGTTCATTCATCGACAATATTAGCGGAGACAATTTCATGGTATTGTACCTTGTTCTTGGCAATCATGTTGCTTTTGAGCTGTTGCGAATCGACGGAAAGTGAATTCGCAGTGCAAATGCACGAGCAGCAGAAGTTGGCTATGAAGAAGCTGCCATTATGTGATGAAATTTATGTGGTAAAAGAAGGAGAAACATTGCATACAATAAGTGAGAAATGTGGAGATCCTTTTATTGTTGAAGAAAATCCACATATTCATGATCCTGATGATGTTTTCCCTGGATTAGTTATCAAGATTACTCCTTACAAGAGTACGTAAATTTATTTTAAAAAAGAATGTGGATTTGTTACTACTTATGTTTTTGAATTTTACTTATGTACATGCATGAGCTCTCTTTGTAATTTAATTTCCTTTTGCTGATTTTACAAGAAATTTTACTCTGAAGAGGTTCAGTGGCATAAACCTATATATAACATCTCGTTATAGCCTTCTTCTCTTTTCTCATTTTTTTTTTTTTTTTTGGCCTGGGCCTTGGAGGGACGGGAGAGTATGTTTAAACGGGAGTTAGAACTGTTTGACCAAAAAGTTTTAGGCTTTTTTAGTTAAATCAATTTAACAAGTAGATAAAGGGTGAATTCTAGTTAAGTGTAATAACAAATTCTAGATTTGAAGTTCAATAATTTTGATGGTATGGGACCGTGTTCAAGTCAATGAATGCCAAGTTAATGCTCAATGACTATCAATAAATATGAGAATGAAAACGTGCAATAAATGTGACAAATGGCATTAAATATAATAAGAGGGAATTTGTCACCCAAATGTTGAATGAGATGGATGATTCCTTCTTCTGACTATAGCGCGTGACATCAGACTATGGAAATGAACAAAGTGTTCTTGGATCTTGTGAATAAAAGAGGAATATTTAGTAATGAAATCAAACAGAGGAGACAAAACAAGCTCTTTGTATATTCTTGATATATAGTCAACCCTTTACAAGATGTCCCTCTCAGAAAAGTCTAGAAGCCCCCCTTTTGTTCCCTCTCTATTCCTATTTATAAGGGATATTCCTAAAAAACCCTAAAAAAGTACAATTAGGGGAATGTTCCTATTCATAATCCTAAGAATATTCTAAACGTTGCTGTTGTTTGTTCTCTACTCGACCTTGGCACTGGTCTCTCTCTGGGCGACTTCTTGCCACTGGGCCGTGCTTGGCTTCGACCTCGGCCTTAGCTCATCCGTTTGCATTCACTAAACTCGACCTAATTTTGACTCATACAAGAACAAATGAAGAGGAAAATTACTAGGACACCTGAATTTCGTCAATTCACCTTTGCATTCACCTATTGGAGAAGGAAATACAATATATATTGTAGATTATTGCATATGTCAATCTGTAAAAATAATAAGAGTTTATGATTATGCCCTACTTTTTCTCTTCGCATAATTAATAGAGGAGCAGAAAATACTAGTACCTAATAAAGATAATAAGGATATTTTTTTTACACTAATATATATATATATATGTATATATATATATATGTATATATATATATATATATATATATATATATATGTATATATATATAATTTGTATACAACTTTGTGCTATATAGAATTCGGTCAAACATATCACTTACAACTTGTATACAAAAATTTTATGGGTAGATTCTAAGTCAAAACATAAATCTTACGTAAAACAACTTACTTACAATTACATTAATGGTATATATTTTGTATGTCGTTTGTACACCTGATGTAAAAAATATATACCGTTTGTACACGTGATATACACAATGCAGTGTATGTAGTATGTACACCTGATATACAAAATATATATCGTTTGTACACGTGGTATACACAATACAGTGTATGTAATTTGTTCACCTAACAACTTTAAAAAAAAAAAAGCATACATAAGTAAAGTGTATGTATTTTTTTTTATCGGATGTATAAACAACATACAAACTATATATAACTAACATGATTATATGCAACTTGTATATAAGTTGTATGTGTGTTGATCGAATTCTGTACAATAAAAGGTTATATACAATTTATATATAAATTGTAGCTTTTGATCGGATTTTGTACAACAAAAAAATCATGTACAAATTGTATATGAATTATAGCTTTTTGACTGAATTTTTGTATATTTTATATTTAAAAAAAACTCTAGCTACTTGTTATAATAGAAAAATCTAGCTAAACCAGGTAAATATTGTTTTAATTTTATATCTATAAAAAACATTCCCTACTGAAATTTGGTAGAAGGTCCATGAAACAAAACTCAGAAATATTGGTAAAAATTGCACGGGGCGCCCTATTTGGTTGCCCCCATTTAGCCTATACCCATTTTTTTTTTTTAAATTTTTAACTTGTACCTACTTTTTAAATAACTTCAGCTCTCTTTCTCCTTCTCCTTCTCCAATACTCGCACCATTATAGAAAACCAGCTTTGCCATGGGAAACAAAGACTTCTCCAATACTCGCGCCATTATAGAAAAAATAAACAATGCTGTCTCTGTACTTGTAAGATCCAAAATTGGTGTTCTTGACACCAAATTCAGCATTCATTGTAATGTTGAATGAAGAGTTTTCTGCATTTTTGGACAACACATCAAAGGTAGCGGACTGGACGTGAAACTTGGGAGTTCTGACTTTCATTATGTACAATGAAGAGAAGAGAGTGATTGCAATTTGAAACAAAGTAGAGAGTGCAAAAAAAAATTAAGAATTTCTTGCGTTTCTTTTTGCTCAGCTCTTTGGATTGTATGGAGTTGGCTGATTCTTCAGCTTGCTTTGCATGTTCGTTAATCTGAAGTTGATGTTCCCCTTCTACTGCCATTTAGTTTCAAGTCAAATTATTTCAAAAACTTCAGCTTATATAGTGCTGAAGTTTTTACAAATGAACTAAATAACTTCAGCATCTTCTGCTGAAGTATTTGAAAAAGCTTTATGACAAAACTAATGAATCCAGGACAAAAAAAATTTCAGCTTATTTAGTGCTGAAGTTTTTACAAATGAAGTAAATAACTTCAGCATCTTCTGCTGAAGTTTTTCAAAAAGCTTATCCAGGACAAAAGAAACTTCAGCGTATTTAGTGCTGACGTTTTTACAAATGAACTAAATAACTTCAGCATCACAAAACTCAGCTACTAGAATGCTTAAGTTCATCAAATAGAGAACAAAACTTCAGCACTAGAATGCTTAAGTTCATCAAATAGAGAACAAAACTTCAGCACTAGAATGCTTAAGTTCAGCAAATAGAGAACAAAACTTCAGCACTAGAATGCTTAAGTTCAGCAATTACAAACAAAAACAAGTTAATCAAATAGAGAACAAAACTTCAGCACTAGAATGCTTAAGTTCAGCAAATAGAGAATAAAACTTCAGCACTAGAATGCTTAGTTCAGCAATTACAAACAAAAATTTCAGCACACTTGGTCTACTTCAGGCCCGACTACTAGAATGCTGAAGTTTTGTGCGATTGCCTTTGCTACTTCAGCCCCGTATGCTGAAGTACCGCGAAACAGTGGGTACGCTTGCAATTCTTTTTGCAAAGCATGCATAAGTTAAAACGTGACCCAAAAAGTGGGTATAAATGCAAATGCCCCGAAATATTGACAAATGATTGGTCGAAAGTATTTGGGCCTGCTCCCACAACTCTAGGCCCAACAACTTTATTTCGTTAGCCCAAGTGCATGGGCAACACTAGAAACATTAATTAACTAGTGTTTGTTAAGAAGTTAAGATGATAATAATAATAATAATAATAATAATAATAATAATAATAATAATAATAATAATAATAATAATAATAATGTAATATTTTTGGTTTTCAGTTTACCCTCATGTTCGATTCGGAGAAATTCAAAAATATTCAAATTTACAAGTGGTCATTCAAAAATAATCACAGTTTCAAAAGTAATCGAAATTTAGTCACTTTTCATGTAAAGATAAATCTGAACAAAACACTGTTCAAAATTCGGAAAAAGTACTCCAATATATTATACTGGAGTTCCAACATAAGTATACTGATACTTATGTCGGTCCAACATAATATACTGGAGATTGGAGCATCAGTGCTCCAATTTTCAGTATATTATACTGGAACTTTCCGCGTGTTGGAGTTCCTGCATAATATGTTGGAAGTTCATACACAGGTGCACCGATCTCCAGTATATTATGCTGGAGCTTTTCGTGTTGCAGCAAAATAGTGGCTATTTTTCAATGACTTTGCAAATGCTGGCTAATTTTGAATGACTAGTCCGAAAACTGGCTAGCCCGTGCTATTCTCTGAACCTTTTTATTTGTCAAGGACGTAATTTTTCTTTTCTTTTCTTTTCAATTTGTGATACTATAAAGCTTGAACCCAGTTCCTTTTGCTCTAATACCAATTTGAATTGTGTGATCAACCAATATAAAACTTAAAATATATATAAATATATATATTTAACAGTTAAAGGGAAGACTCATTATTTATTTATTTAGGTGTACAAAACATACGACTCAATACATATAAAGCCTCGAGAGTTGCTTATCCGTTTACTTGTATTTAGGGTAACTCAATTAATTTCTCCAGTTTGAACTTTTGATATATATTGTAAATGAGAACGAGACTTACGGCTTTAAGATCAGAGATTCAATGCATAGTATCCTAATTACTGAATAAATTAGTGTAATTATTTTGTATGATAAACTACTACTCCCTGTAAATGAAACATAGCATGCTATACAAACTAGAGAACTTGATTTGCTCAGTCTAAAGTTCAAAATTTAAACCCCATATACCAGACAAGTGGGTGTATCACCAAGAATTTTAATAGAAGGTTATCGTTTGCTTCTATAGTGGTTTGCAATTTTATTTTTATCTGTAAAGTTGTTAAATTGATCTATCAAAAATAGAAGGGGCTGTTTATTGTCTTAACTCTCACCTGGTTTTTTCATAAAGCACAACTAATTCTAGTTATTACTAACAATAATTGTTTCTGCATACATTTTTTATCTCAAAACATACTTTTGCATTTGTCTTATGAGAAAGTTTGCCGCGGAGACTTGTTTTAAGCTGACTAGTTTATTTTCGTGCACTGACAGTATATTATTTATTTACACTATTAGGTGAACTCAATCTATAAAAATATGTAACTCTTTGTAGGCATGTAAAAATTTATTGAATTCACATTCAATAAATTATTGGATTACATTTTAAATATACTAGTCCAAATAAATTATGGGCTAATATAATTGGATTAATTACATAAGTTCAATATATATGGATTAAAATTCATTGGGCTAGCCCATTTAATTGGGCTAAAGTG